GTTGTTCAGCTACCTGATTATGGAAAAAGACATGATTATGGCAAAACTTAACTAAATAATCACTATTATGGGTCCATAAAACATTTATTCAGCACTTTTGAATGCATACAGTACATTAATTCCAAGTCAAGTGCATTTTCTTTTCTCTGTAGGATAACTACAACAAAGTGCATTCAGAACGAAGCCAAGGTGCTTTAAAACTGCATAACATCTAGGCCAGTAGGCCTACAACAAAATAGTGTAAATAAAGACTGTAACAGCCAGGCCTTCAACAACAACAAATGCACCTATAAGTTTGGTAACCTAACGTGTTGTTGTGATGACGTAATCAAAACGCGGCGACAAGCACGGCACGCGACCATGCTCGCGGCTGGCTCACAGCCAACATGTCTGCCGCTTGGAGATATTTCTAAATATCAGAGAAAGAGGCGCGGATTGCGATTTGTAAAACGTGTTTAGCTGACATTTCTCGAGGGGGTGTAACTGCAAAGACTTTCACCACTTCGGGATTACTCCACCACTTGAAATCAAAACACCCGGACAAATATGCGGAGTATGATCAACGTAACCCTGTTCTCTGACATTCGGTGAAAGCCGAAAGGGCCTTTTTAACCATTTTCGGCCGATAATTTTCGGTAGCCGAATATTCGGTGCATCCCTAATTAAAACAGTAAAAACACGTTTAGTTTCCTTTTGCTTTTTTGTGTCTCCTGTTCACCAAAACATACCATCTGTGATGGAAAAATAAAGTAATCTAAAAGTAATCTGATTGAAGACGCGTAACTGTATTCGGATTACTTTCAGAGCCATGTATTCAGCAATCAGTAACTGATTACATTTACAAAGTAACCCTCCCAACAAGCAAAGAGCAGAACGTTTATATTCCAGTGCGACTGGTCACAGACTCAATATGCCCCATGACTGAGTCTGTGATTTGTCCAGGGATCTTCTTCTACTTAGTTCGGTATTTGTTTCATGATGGTGTCACTGTTTATTATTATCTGATTTAATATCATCTTGCATCTCATTTTCCAGATCTGCATACACGTGATGCAAATGACAAGCCGAAAAAGTGTGTAGAAAATGTTTGAGCACAGAAAAATATATTTTGCAAGCGCATCAATTGTATTTTGAAGAGAAATTGACTCTGAGCCCTCTCACAAACTCCTGCTCAATGCGCAAGCAGACCGCTGCACGTGCTCTCAGCTGATTACAGATCTAAGGCCATTAAGAATTCATTTAAATGTATAACCTCTATATTTATTATTGCAGTCTTTTAGAAAGTAAAGTATATTTTAGAACTTGATCACAGCCCACAGTAATACACTGTTGATAGGGTTACAATTAAGTCAGGGTTACAATTATTTAATTCTACAAAAAACAGATGCACAAGATATGATTGTTTGCAATGCAAAGTTTATGATTGTATACATTTCAGTGGCATGTCCAGTCTTTTGACTAGGGTGGCTCTGACTAATGGCACAATGTAAATATTCACAAACATGTCAATTAAAACGTTTATCATTTTTCTCAACTACTCATGTATTCTTACTGACATTACAGTATATTACATTCAGAATCATTCTTATAATTTTGGCCTCAAAGTTAATATACCAATCACAAACCAATTGAGTGGCACCAATATAAATCCTTGATACTTTAAGCCTTCATAAAGAAAGATGTCCTCCAAAATGTGACTGGATACAAAAGAAAGCAAATTCAATGACAACATTTTAAATGAAAAAAATAAGTGGATCAGATTGTGCCTCACTAAAAATATACATTAAAAACAATTACATATTAACTCTGTTCAAGCAAATAGGTAGACCTACCAATCACTACAAATCCAAGAGGCAACACAAATGTAAAATAAAGTACAACACAACACACAACAGAAATAATTCAAAGCACAAAATAAAATGAAAATAATTGCCTATGGAAACAAAATAATGTTTTAACAACATTGTGACAAACTACAAATCCACTACACAACTGTTTGTGGGTTTCACACCTGTAATGGTTCTGATCAAACTGAACAGTCTGAACAAGATAGGTGGGAAAGGGCACTGTAGCTAGAGCTGCAGGGCCAGGCATTTAACTCTGCATTTCAACAGACACTTTGCCACAACTTTAACAGACTTAAAAGATATAAAAAACTCATTATAAATTACATAACAAATGTTTAAAAAAATGTAATGATATTATCTTAATGTGACATAAAAAGCCTTTTGACTATGAAATCTGTCTCTGCCACATGTAATGATAACTAGTAAGAGTAAAGACAACACTTTAAAATATGAAATTACATAAAATGAAGATAAAATAAAAGAGGTAATAAAAAAAGTAGTAAATGTATAAGCTATTAGAACAACAGCATTGCTTTTGTACATTGCAAACTGTCTCACCGGTTGCACAAGTTCTCTTGATGGGGTGTGTTTAAAATTCCAGGAAAGTGAATGACTGTCTGTCACATATTTTTCATGCTGTAAAATGTATGCATCAGTGCTTGTGTTGCACTTGTTTGTACAAGATTAAATACGCTTAAGAGAGAGTATGAAAATGAGACAGTTTGCCACACCTGAAACAAGCAAAAACAAAAACAAAATAATACAAATTCATCATAAAATAGACAACAAATGTTTTTAAAAGCTTAAATGTCACAAAGTGAGTACAAAATTAAATATGCATGAGCTACAGGATTGGCACGTGTACCTTCAATCTGTCTTATTTATAATTTGCTCATGTGCTTTTTTGAGGTGTCTTTGGAATCCATCACAGTGATTCAGTGGCTGTCACGCCTATATTTCAAACCTAAAATTTGTCTTGGCACTTTTGCTGCACTTGTGCAATTTGCACTTTGTTATTGACAGTCCCTTACCCTAGTTTTCATACTGAATGTCATAAGCAAGGGGTCCATCAATAGCAAAGCCAAGGTAGAAAGAAACTTTTTCTGTGCTGCAACCACTTCTTGTACCAGCAATGAGAGCTGGACGCACAGGGATTTTCAGTTTTCTGTAATTGGCGAACACCTCTCCTTGCTCAATGTTTCCAACGACTCGATGAAGACGTTTGATAATAGCCTTTTTTTTAAATATATTTCCATTTCGCCAAAGTTGTGCCAAGGTGTCACGTCGCATGTCTTTAAAATTCTCATCTAGTTGAGGTTTGGAAACAAGCCTACTGAGTCCCTCTTCTTTCCCTAAGTAGAGGTGGGCAACTGTGCTCCTATTTCGAAGCAATGAGAACCTCTTGCAGGATGATCTTCGAATTGCTTTCACATATGTCACGATTTCTTGGTTTTCCTGAGTAGAACTTGGCCAGAACAGCAGCAAAGCCAGATAGTATGGGTCTGGGAAGGGATACCCAAGTCCTACATCTGTCAGAGTTTTCAAAAGCAGATCAGAGAGGTGGTTGAGTCTCTTTACATGCTTAGATTTTGGTTTTAAAAGGTAAAGAACTATCTTCGACAAAATGTAATTGATAGTTTCCTTTGTCTGTTGTTTTTTATTGAAAAACTGCTGTTTTTGTTGCAAGAATGCATAGCATGCTGTGATCTCCTCAATCTCTTTGGCAGGCTTGTCCAAATGCTGAAGAATCCCTGTGAATGTATCTGCATGTTTCGCTTCAAGAATCAATCTTCGTTCTTCAATATCTATTTTCAAATTGAGATTAGGATTGCTTGGTCGTTCTTTTCGCATTTCATCAGTTGCAGTGCAAAAAAGATTTACAAAGTCTTTAAAAAACCCACTGACGGTCCAACGATTCTTTGAATCAAATTCGGAATCGTTTGCTTTAATATATGTGAAGTAACAGTCAAGAAGATCAAATGTGTCTTTAACTTCAGTTTTCAAACCAAGGAGAAACTGCTCATGTTCTTTGATGATCTCCACATATCTGTTGTTGATGTCATTGTCATCCTTATGCACGCTGGTGATTGGGATTAGTTTTTGCAGGTAACTCTGGAAGTAGTTCTTCTTCATTGGATCTCTTTCCTCAAAGAACGGCAATCTGCACAATATCTCAAAGATTATGAAGGCAATTTCCAGCACACCCACATAGCCATAAACATTATATGACTTTCTGGGAAAGTCATCCGACTCATCAGCAGCAGCTTTATCCTCAGGGTCATCCTCTGTGTTTACCAGCTTTTGAGCGCTTTGAAATGCTCTGATGGCATTCTGCGCTATTTTTATGTTTGTGTTTAAGTCTTCTGGATTGTGTGATGTTTCCTGCTTTTCTCTGTTGTTGTTAGATTTTAATTGTTTTTTGTGAATCTGCCCAATTGTGTCGAATGTGTATGGGTTTTCTTTGATGTTCTTGGCCTTTTCTGCCCATTTCAGAGCCTCTGGGAAGTCAGATTCGTTGATGTATAAATATCTTGCCAGGGCCTGAGGAATAGATGCACTTTTTTCAAACCTGGATGATGCTTTCACAAATATTTCTTGGACAGTTTTCCTTCCTTCCTGACTGTGGACTTTGTCTATGAGAGATGAAAATAGTCCCCTCTCATCTTTGCTGCGCTGCCTTTCAATTACCATTTGTTGGATTGAGAATCTGTGTTTGGCAACTCCAACACTGAAGAAGAGATCACAGTGAAGAACCTCCATAGTGATATCGCTCACTTTTAAAGAGAAGCTTCTCTCTAACTCTTCCAGACAGGCAGATGCAATGGCCGGATGAAGGATTCGGATTCCTTTATATCCTCCCCAGTCTTCAACCTTGTGTACAATGAGAAAGTTGGAATATGGCTTCATTCTGTCCAGTACACTATCCTCTCTCCAATGTATCATTTTCATTCCCAAAAATTCTTCAGCAAGAGAGAGAGATATTTCGGATTCTGCAACATAGGTATTCAGTAATGCTAAGAAGGCAAACGTTCGGGCCTCCTTTTGGCTGAAATCAAAGTTCTCCAGTGTGTTATGAGCAATGCCATCAATATATTTCTTATCAAAATTACTTTTCATGATCATGAAGCTGTAAAAGCTTTCAGGTTTTTCATGAGTTTCTTTGAGCTCTTTGAGTTTCTTTTCAAAGTCCTTCTGCTCTTCTTGTGTCAATGAAGACGTTATATGTTGACTTTCTGTTGGGTTGTGCTTTCTGAATTGCTCTTTTGGGCTATGGGAACGAACACAGTTAAGGATAATGACTTTACAGTTTGGTTCATCATCCACATTAATGTTCAAACTAACTTCTTTACGTATGCAGCTCACAAGGTCGTTAGGATTTTCGGTTCCTGTTGAATCATCCACTAACAGCAATACTGGAGATGGTTTCTCACTTTCAAGTTTCATGAGTCTTTTGACTTGAGTAGCTACTTCTGTTTTTGGCACTGTGTTGTCTTTCAGCACAGCGCATCTTAACTCATGACGGAGATCCCACATCACATGCATTGCTAAGGTGGTACCTCCACAGCCCGGTTGGTGAAACAGATTGAGCAGAACACACATGTCCTTTGAATCTTTCAAGTTAGACCTGATCATCTTCTTCACATTGTCATACTTGTCCCGCTTGATAAATGGCTTATCTTTGTTTTTGTCACAGAAGTAAAAGTTCCACCATTTTACTTTGCCTCCTCTGAAGAATTCCTCCTCAACGTTCTTTCTAAAATCTTGGAACTCTTCACTGTTTTCATCATAGGTATTTTCACACTGATTCAAACACAAAATATCCAGAGCAGTAATGAAATCTTCATCCTTCGGTTTCAAGGCAATGGCACTGGAACCAGAAGAGGGAAGTAACCTTCCAGATGACTGATTGAATGGCCCCAGTGCCATTATAGTACCATTGATTTCACTTAAGGTTAGTTCATTTATTGATAGACATTCAATGTCGAAATCACACTTTTCCTGTATCAGCTCCCTCCATTTCTGGTAAGTGGACTGAGATTCACAAATATTGATGATGCTTTCCTCCTTGATGTGTTTTATGAATGATTTGTAGATGTCAACAATTGGGTCTTTCTCAGTGACCACAGGTGAAAGTAGGAGAAATATGATGAGACTTCTTCCATGGTGAAAAACTTCGTGGTTGCAGATGAATGATACTAACTGTTCTACGTCTCTGCAAGATTTCCTCAGCCAGTTCTTATAGTCTAACTCTTTGTTCAAGTCGCTGTCAAGGTCATGTCTGCCATTGCAGAAGATCCAGCTTGTCTGCTTGCAGAGGTTAAGGTCCTTTATCACCGAGTCAGTCTTTCCTTGATATTGTGATGGAGTATGCAGATTGGCTAACCTTGACTCTCGGTAGGAATGACAGAGTCCCCCAGGAGCAACAGAGTTGGGGTCAAAGTCTAGCACACAAAATAGTTTCAGCTTAGTCAGAAACTGGAGATACTGCACTTGTTCTGGACTGCTCTTGTTCACAACAACAACAAATCTGTCATATTGGTCTAGTGAGTTACCACCACAAGTTAACAAATTCTTCAGTTTCTCCCCCTGGTTAGCTTCTTTCTTCAAAAGGGATTTTGAAAGAAGACTCTGCTGCTTCAGTTGACCTGTATGAACAGTATAATACATCTGTTATTCAATATAGAAACAAAATATGCCTACAAAACCAAGCATTTTCAAGCATTTTCATTCTTATCAAATCCTATAAAAAAAGCAAACAGTGTGTCAGTCCACCTCTGAATACTCTTGGCTTTTTCTCAAAAAACGTAAATCCTAAAACAATTTACTCATACAGTAACTAGTTGAATTTTATAGAAAGCGTCAGTCATTTCAAAAATGTAGTCACTAGAAAATTGTGATGGGAATTTACAGTGATTCAATATTATGTATGTAGGTTTCCTGGCTACAAAATGTTGTCAGACAGAAGGGTGTCGCCCTGACCATTGTCAGGCAATTATCATATGGATGTTAGGGCTTGTAATTAACATGCTGCGCTTCCCCTTCTGTCTGCCCCCCCACCCAATTTAGGACTGTAATGTGGATTGCCTTCCTTCCTGTGTCTCATCNTCCGTGAGGAGGGAAGACTTTTTTGATATCGAATTCGGTTAGTTTTTGTTTTCGTCTCCGTGTGGCCGGCTGTATAAATGACATTGCTTTTCTGTGTAACGGGGTCAGATCCTGGTACTATCTACTAGTGCAGGACCTCTGTCCTTTCCAGCTGGAAATATGATGACTTTGGTTTAAGCTTGTATTTGTTCTTTTCTTACCAGAAGGTGATTAAGTGTGGAATTTCCACTACAGTTTTTCTTACAAAAATTAATCAAGAAGGATGACATTTTTCAGCCATGGATTGATCTGAATGTTGTGCTCTAGTGACTTTTTGTGAAAGCATGACAGTGTATGAGTTCATTTTAATTAAGGAGCATGTCACCAAGTGCAAGAGAGTGGGTAATCGTCGTGATCCACAGTTTGTACATTTGTTTATCAGCTTTTTTGTCAAAAAAAGATTCCTTTTCGTTAAATCTATCTGCCATTTCATTTTTGACTGCCCTTGGATCCAACTTCCTGCCAAACCCTGACACAAATAGTATATCAGCCTTTTAATACAAAGGTAACTCAGTATTGGTTCACTGTTTTTGGGATTTGTAGAAAGTAGTAATATGTGAGTCAGTATGTGCTAGGTAGTATTAAATAGGATTTAAATCATTACAAAATAATGCAAATCAGCAAGAAACGAACTCTTTAGAAGTTATCTAAAGGTCAAGCTACTTCACTATTTGAAAACCTTTTTTTTACATTGGTTGTCTTACCAGTTTTCTTCTCCAGATCACAAGCAAGTGGGCGCTGATTGATGTTGAGTAGAATGTCTCTTGTGACTTGTACAGCCTCATAGGTTCCATAGTGGTCAGTCATTATCTTGGCTGTGTCCTTAGTGTCCTTTCCCTCTAGTTTACCTCTAGGAATCGATTGATTTGTAGATTTAGTGAATTCGTAGAAATTAAATTCTTTCAGGCCATCTTTGGAAAGGTCGTCTAGAATTTTCTTTATTTCCAAAGTGATGTTTTGTTTGTCTTCTTGGACTGTGGTCTGCAGGAAGAAAAAGTAGATATTAAGTGTACATTTAGAAATGTAATTAGAGCCTATATTAGTGAAAACATTTAATATACTATGAATTATAAAACTGCAAAACACTTTACCCCAATCATTTCTTTTCTCCTTTCCCCCAAGTCTTTTTGGTTTGTATGCTGAATTCCGTCCTTCTCTGAAGCTTTATTGAATTGCTGCTGAATATTTTCAGATTTATCTTCAGCCACATTGTCGGTTTCTGATTCAATTTTGTTTTGTGATTCTGGTTGATTGGTTGTTATGGCCTGAGGTAAACTCAGTTCAGGTTGAGTGGGGTTTGGCTTTTCTGTAATATCTGTGATGTAAGATATAGGTTGCAGTTGCGGTTCTGGTTTGTTGTTCAACTTGTGTAGTTCTGCCAGAATCTTTACAGCAGGACCACTTTTAACTTTCAAGTCCAGAAAATCCTGCTTCTTGAAGCAAACCAGGCAATCTCCAGTCACATCTTCCTCTCGAAGCATTTCTGCATATTTGTCATATACCTTCACATGCTGTAGTAACCACTGGGTCACTTGCTGCTTAGTCCAATTTTCCACATACGCTGGGAACTGTGGCTCAGGTCGTGGTCCTTTCTTGAGACTTTCTAGATAAGATGTGATCTTGACAGCAGGACCATGTTTTATTCCCAAGTCCAATATGTCTGTCTTTCCAAAGACATCCAAACTTGATCCCGAGACCTCCTCTTCAAAGAATTTGTCTGCAAGAGTCTCATGAACTTTGACCTCTGTCATCAGCCACAGGTGGACGTCTTGCTCTGTCCATTTTTCAAGGAGTTGAGGTGAGGGCCTTGTTGTCATTTTGGTTCACCTAAAAATGGTAGTAAAAGATTCAAATAATTAACAAAGAGAGACCTAAGAGAAATGAATGCTATAACATAACAAAGATGCATATTTAAAACATTTCTTTATAGAAATCATGATTCTATGTGTACCTGATAACTATGATTTCTACTGATACATGATGATGATTTTAAATCAGTTTTAGGAATATTCAAAAATCAGAAGTTCAAAGGTTTTGCACCCGCAGCTCACAGCCAAAGTGGGCGTGGGATCGAGCGAGAGAGATACAGTACATGCAATTTATGTAAACAAATATTTCCAAGGCACTCCTTTATAATTACCCAAAATATCGCCTAGGGCAGCAAATTGGACACACACACACACACACACACACACACACACACACACACACACACACACACACACACACACACACACACACACACACACACACACACACACACACACACA